CACCAACAGTTCACCCTCACGCCGGCGTTAAAACTGCCACCCACCCTGGCGGAAAATGCTGTGCTCATTTTTTTTTTTTTTTTTGCTTGAAATATCTCTACACTAGATGGCTTGCCTTACCTGATTTTCATTTGGACCGCGGAGAAAATGTATTTTTACAATGCTGCCTCTCGATATCGATGGCATTAATTTTATCATTAAATACTATAATTACTATAATAATATGTAAAACGTTATAAACATTAGCTAAACAACAAATAACCCCGATAACGATTAATATTTTCGTAAATTAGAGAAACGACGCTAAACAGGCGGAGTACACGGCAGTACAAGTGCTAAGCCATCGTATGTGGGAAAACCATCAAACAAGTTAAACTTAAGTGGCGACTGTATACGGTGCCACCCGGGCGACATGTAACCCAAGGCTGCGGGTATCAAGTTGAGCATCCACATCCTCCCCACTCTCTTCACACCACATCATCCTACCTTTTTCCAACCCTCAATCCCACTTACCTCTCTTATACATCACCCCAACCCCCCCCCCCCAAACCACCACAAAAACCCCAACCACCCCAATGCATCCCTAGCCTGAATTGTGAAAGTCTGCCGTGTGACGACACCTCATGGCAAGGGACCTTCGCATGCCCCCAGTCCTGGTCTGCCCCTCTGGCAGACTTGATACCATTCTCCCTGACCTAGACCCGCTGAAGGGTTGTAGACGTCATCCTCTTCTGCCCGAAGGGGAAGGCGGACCGGCGATGACCGACTGCAGCCACGCCCGATGGCCCATCTACAATCTACTCAGGAATACAGGCCACACATCCACTGAGACGTATCATGAATCGCACCGGAAGCATTCTGGATTCACTCCTGCTAAGTCCACAGTTGATGCGCATCCTGCCCGCTATTTCAAGTCATTGCTTAAGAGCCGCCATTGTGAGTTTGACGTGGGCTGCTCGCCAGCTTACATCGACCTCAAGAAGGCGTTTCCCGCCCTCGATACAGTGATCATCCGCCGCCAGCCACTCTATGGACGATCCTTGAGCGTCCTAGAGGAATACCCCCCCCCGATTGTGGCATTAATAGATAAACCTGTGTGCCCCTACAGCACATGACAAGTGTATTTGTAAAGTGTGGTGGCGGCGCTGTCGAGCTTCCTTCGCTCTCGTTAGCTTCCAAGCAGTGTAGGCAAGGCTGTGTCTTGCACCAACACTTTTCAACACATGCATATGACCTGCGATACTGGCGTAGAGTTACTGGCCCAAAGTCACTGTCCCACTGCCGACCCTAGAGCCAACTCTGGCGCAATATCAAGGATACAGAACCTATGACTTTGCCCCCAGATGATCTGCCTTGACCCAATCTATTCTAAATCTTATGGAACCCTAGTGACGCCGCTTCTTGCATGCATTTATCATGTGCAAAGCGAAGCCCTGCGGGCCCCTAGTGGATCTCCCCTGACCGCCCAAGACTAAGATCCAGCGATTTCGGGTCCGGTCCTACTAGCGAGACCCTTGTGCAGTCGGTAAGTGCTTAAATTGCGGATGAACTTGAAAACATCGACAGTCACAGAGAGTGTAGTTTTTATATACCTCAGTACTGCAGTTCACGACGGATTGCACGACTTGCAGAAGGGCCTCATGAAATCCTCTCGAACAAGAGTATTTGGAGATGCTTAGGGTACTTGTGCGGAAAATGAACCAGCATACTTGCTCCTTTCAATGGCCCTGATTACTGCCCGTGTTTACTATATTGCTATGAAACCATTTGTGCTTTGGAATTTCCGCTCTTGGTCGTATGCCTTTTGTAACACGATCCTTGCAAACAGGATCATGCCGGGCTACACCTGTTGGCGACCCGGACCATGCTGCCTCTAACAACGGACATGCCCCCACCGTAGACAGGACCGCTTCCCATTACACAATCTCCGCTGATCGCCACCTCAGGCCCTTGCTCGATCCCGCAGGAAACCGACACCCATGCCCCTACCTAGCAGTGGTCTCCAGTCCCAAGATAATACCGTCCCGGAGTGAGAGGTAAGCCGGTGCGGTCTGAACGATGAAAGAGCGGGATCGTGCCATCTAGACCCCGGCGATCCGTAGCCAAACTCAGGGCCGCACTGCTGGGCAACTAGAGATGGGCCGGGCCCCTGCTCGGGCGGCCTCAGTCAAAGTAGGAACCCTCAGAGAGATGAAAGCAAAGGGGGGATGCCCTGGACCATGGCTCACAATGATCGTATGAGGCCGTTGTGGACTAGACTTTTGTTCAAGGCATGTGTCGGAGTATCGTGTGCGCAACGGGTTGACCAGTTTGGCGTGTGTGATGAGAGCCGGACAGTGTGAAGAGGGTGGATTTCATGTGTGAATGGTTGTGGACGATGAGTGACACATGAAGTCGTGCTCGTAGTCGTGTGTGGTAGTAGTGTGTTTGTTCGTTAGTGTGTGATAGTAGTCGTGTGTGTGGTGTGTGTTAGTGTTATGTTCATCGGGAGAAGATCATCAGCAGAGGGTCGGTATGGTCACGTGTGTGTCGTGTGTGCTCTACTGTCAGGCGCCGGTACGATGCGTTGCTTTGTGAAAGATGTGTGTGAGTGTGATGTGGTTTGTTCGAATAAGAGTCAAGTAAGTGCCACGTTGAGGTGTGAGTCTCTGGAACTGTGACTACATATATATCTCTCATCTCTAACTCATGAGACGCTATTTACAGCACACTCTGTGAGAGTAGTTCTGAACGTTGAGGTGATAGTTTGACGATGTGCGTGAAGTGCTGGTCGATATGCTTCAATGGCTGTGTGTCATGGGTGGAGGGTTACCTGGGTGTGTGGGTTGGTGGGTGCTGCTGTGCGAGATGCTGGGGAGTCGATTTGTGTGAATAGTTGAGTAGATGAAGCAGATAGCTGCAGAGAGAAGAGTAGAGATGAGTGGCCTTCAACTCCGTGAGTGATAGCGCTAGGTTATAGTCGACTTTACTTGAGTGCAGTTGATTTAGAGACGTCCGAGTATAGAGACCGAGATGAGAGAGATTTATAGTGATGGGTGGGTAGATGTGGGGGGTCACCTCGTAGCGGGGCTGCGGCGGTGCGAGTTGTGGGCTTGGCGTAGTGTCGTGCTGTGAATGTTGTATTGATTCGCTGTGTGTTGTCGTGTCAGTGTGTGGTGTGTGAGATGAGTGACTAATGTAAGTGAGGAGTGATTGGAGTCGTGCACAAGCTTATATGTGTAGTTGTGGGTGTGGTTAGTGTCGTGTTGTCGTCTCCGCTTAGTATGTAGTGTGTGTAGTGTTGTAGGTCACCATCTTGTAGTCACGTGTGTCGAGTCGTCTGCATAGCCGTGGTTGTGTGTGGTGTCATGAAGTGCTGGGTGTGAGTTGAATGTGTGCTTTGTGTGTGGTCAGTGAGTGTGTGATGGGGATTCGTTGGGGTCGGCGGGACCACGTGTCTGGATGGAGTGTTGGGTGTCCGTGGGTGTGTGTGTGTTGATGTGTGATGTCGTGTGAAGGGATGCTGTGTGTGGACGTGATGTGTGTGTCCCGTGTGATGCAGTTGTGTCAGTTGTTGTGATGGTACCAACCCCACATATGAAGTGTCGTGGGTCGGGTGTGTACAGATGTATGCTGTGTGGGTGCTGTCTGTGGTGTTGCGGTTCGTCTGGCAGTGAGCAGGGAGTAGGGTGAGTGACGTTAGTCGTGTCAGAATGTATCTTGGATGTCGGTGTTGTTGTGTGTCGATGTGTGATGGTGTGTAGTGTCTGTACCGTGCCGTGTTTTAGTAGTTGTGTCGTGGTATTTTCCTCTGAGATGAGTATTAAGTGATACTTGTGACAAGACGATGTGACGATTTAGACTTAACTAGTACTAGAGGAGTGAACCGTGTAGACGAAGTAAGCGGTGTGGTGAGTGTGTGAGAGGTTTGCGTTGGGGTCTGGTCGGTTGAAGTGTTGGGTCGTGGCTAGCTTGGTGTGGGTGGTGTTATCTGTTTGATATAGTTAATATGTGTCTGTGGGAGTCTTCACTCATCTCTACTACAATACTCAGTGTCATCCAAGTTTGAGTTATGGTGTTGTTTTGTGTGTATGTCGAGAGTGTTGATTCGTCGTGTGATGTTGAAGTTCGCAGGTCGTTATTTTGTGAGTGAGATGTTGTTACGTAGTTTATATAATGGATGAAGGGGGGTGGGGGGGAATAGTGAGTATGATTTGACTCGAGGTTCATTAGACGTGAGAGAATGGACTATCATCGCGGTGTTAAGTGGTATCAAAAATATGCTGTGTGTTTATAGTGTATAAGATCTAGTCGATATATGAGAGCATTTTGTTATAGTGAGTTGAATATGATCACATATTGACATACCACATCACAACTCACCACACCAACACTATCATATCCTTATTTGATATATAGGTATATTGCTATGCCATATGTAGGCTATGTATAATGATTACTAATATATGGTATTATATAATAATATAGATGATTAAATATCATATTTGATACTAT